AGCGTTTGGGGATCATGAAAATCGGGTGAAAACCCTGGAAATTATGCGAAAAATGGCGAAAAGGCACAAAATTGTTTGGAACCAGCGACTCTATGTCCCACAACTCGTTTGCCATTCGTTGGATTTTGAAAAAACAAAATGTACGTTAAAGCTGGTAAGTTTCTCCCACTTTCGGCGTTTCAATAGTTTAAATTGGTGGAAAAACCTGCAAGTTGAGCACAGAATCAAATAAACTTGGAGTCACTGTATTTTATGCAAATTAACCGAATTTTTGCACATTTATTGCGTTTCATTCGTCTGCATTGAACTTTTGAGCAAATTTGGCAAAAAAATTGAGTGTGGAWATAGCGACTCTATGTCYCATAAYTCGCTTGTTAGTAGTCGGATTTTGAAAAAATAAAATGCACGTTGAAGCCGGTTAGTTTCTTCAACGTTCGGCTTTTCAATCGTTAAAGTCGGTTAAAAAACCTGGAATTTTCGCAACAAAATGCACCGAATCACAGAGTTCAATGCGTTTCATTCGTCTACATTAAACTTATGAGCGTATTTGGCAAAAAAATAAGTTTGGAAATAGCGACTCTATGTCCCACAACTCGCTTGTTATTGGACGCATTTAWAAAAAAYMAAATSCAMTTTGAAGACAGTCAGTTCCTCTAACTTTTAGCAGTTCGATCATTGAATTCGGTTCAAAAACAACCTGGAAGTTATGCAAAACATGGCAAAAAGGCACAAACTTGTTTGGAAACAGGGGCTCTATGGCTCATAACTACCTTGTAATTGGACGAATTTTAAAAAAACAAAATTCCCTTCAAAGAGAGTCAGTTTCTCCCTCGTTCACCGCTTCGAACATTAAAATAGGGTAAAAACCCTGGAAGTTAGGAGAGAAAAAAGGGTTAAAAGGCACAAAATTTCTGGGAAATAGCGACTCTATGGCTAATAACTCGCCTGTTATTGGACGGATTAAAAAAAAACAAAACGGCCTTTAAAGACAGTTAGTTTCTCACTTTAAGCGTTTCGATGGTTGAATTCGGTTCAAAAACCTGAAAGTTTTGCCTACAGAATCACATAATTTTGCAGGCATATTTTCACACAAATTAACCGAATTTTTGAGTATTAAGTGGATTTATTCCTCCAAGCTCTATTTTTTTAACTAAATCATGCACTTTAAAGCCAGTCATTTTTTGCCAGCAAATTTGTCCCAATTTCAATGGTCGCAAACGCACAAACACCTCGAAAGTTCTCAGAAAAATCATTGCAAATTTCCAAAAAAAAAACACAAAACTAATTACCAAACAATTAGAGCCATTTTTCTTATCAGCCGTCCTAACAGGCTTCATAACAACATCAAAAACCCCACACTCACAGACACTGTGAACTACTGATGAGTGAATTCACCACAGTGAATTCACCTGAAAGCATGCGACGGCAACGTTGCCCAGCTGCGTGAGCCACCCTGAACATCCCGGCTAAGACTCTCAGGGGGGATCTGGCGGCAGTTTTGGGGCAAACCGGGACAGTTTGGCAACAGCGTGCGATCGAATTTAAGATAAACCGCCGAATAATCAATAGATCGAATTTGGTATTACCGTAAATACACTCGATAATCGCTTAAGTAAACATTCCCTTGAGATTAGATTGGCTGTTTTTCTCCTCTTTGCTCATGCACACCCATAAAATGTGGATGCATTTTTCGGAAAACTGGCTCAGAACTCAGAAGCGCAGAGCTCAGACCTCACTGGTGCCTAAAAGCAACTAAATCGAGATGAAACGCGAGTCTAATTTTGCAACAAACATCGTGACAATAAATAAGCGGAGAAGAGACTGTTTTGGCGAATTAATCATGCGAGCCCATTAGTCAAACGGTCGAAAATCGGGACGGGGAATGAATTTACGAGACCGATGGCGCAACGAAACCGCACCCGGAAAGTTCATAAATCGTCGCCAATATGCGAAGAATGCGCATAATTTGGGAAATGAGTTGAAAAATGGCCGGTTAATTATAAAACGGCGAGCGTTTCGGCTGGCG